AATAGAAAACCTAGTGCCTCTTGGTTCAGCTTCAGCCTTGCCGTCGAGCCGTCTTCATTCGGACGGATCATGTTATTGGCATAAAACCAGAGCTCAGGTCATGTTGAGCCCGCTGCGCATTTGTGACTGTGGAGCTGTGTGAAAGTTTGAGATAGGCGAGTAAGGAGGTGGAAATTGAAGCTGAAGGTCAAGAGAAGCTGTAAAGGTACAGCCTGTTCTCTGCGTATGAAGGAGCGTGTCAGGCGGGACGAGTTTAGCACGGTCTCAAACCCTCTTTTCTTTTGTTGAAGGGGGTATAAGATAACAGTTTGTGCAGAACGGGCTTGGCGTTGCGCTACATCTATCCCACCTGACACCCCCTTTCGTTCGCTCCGAATAAGATTATATCAAGGGTGTTCCAGAGGTTATCTTGGCTATTTCAGGTAGCAATAGCGTCTAAGGAGTCTGTAACGGATTATGTCAAGACGGCAGGTTTGGCCCTACTTGGCACCATGGATCAAGCGCCACAATTGGAAATGGTATTGGACGATTCGGAAGCCGTAATGAAGTTCATCAGCGATCCACAGACTCAAGTACTTGTTGTTGATCGGACCGTCCATAGAGGTATTCATTTGTACAACGTTGTTGTGGCGCTGTTTAATATGAAACGGGGTTGTTTTCCAGATCAATCCGGAGACACGGACACAGGGGACGAGAGTGAGTCGGTTGTTGCGGTGTTCACGGTACGAAACGATGTACTGTATCGAACGGACAGAAGTACATCAATAGTGTATGTAAAGAGAGGTGGAATACTGGAAGCCGACAAACCAATTGCAGATCAACTCAGGGTGATAGTGTGAGTTCACTTGTTTCTTGGAGTGAAGCGCCAGTGCAGTATAACCCCGCAGTTCAACGTGTTGATGTTATGCTGTTCATATCCGGGAGGTGGGTAGGGCGTAGCTGTGTGGGTCATTTGAACACAGCGTGGGACGCGTTTTTTTTATGGCGACTTACCTTTTTGGCAGCTACCGTTCTGCCTTGTGCTGCAGAAGGATGATGAGGAATATCCCAAACCAAGACTGTCCCATCAGAAGTGCAGCCGCGGCCATGTTTAAATGTAATACGCGGCCACGCCCCGTCCACATATGAGATTTGGAGTATATGTTCGGACGTGCCACGATGTCGCATCAAGTCAGGGTAAGGAACAAAGAGGAAGAGAGGAAGCTCTGGAGCTCCACACCACTTCTCACAGAATGAGAAAACCGCTTCTGCCTGAAAGAACTGAGCGCCATTTGGCTTGGGAGGGGCGTTTTGAATTTTCGCCAGTTCCCATCGACTTGGTGAGCCATCATGTGTGAAATTTTGTGAAGCGAGGAAAAGGTACAGCTAAAGCTTGTAGGGGCCACCTTGTGAATACCAGTTAACTTTTGTAAAATTGTGAAGTACCATGAGCGCAACTTCCACTTCATAGTGTTCCATGAGCCTACAAGAGTTGACAGGGTTTTACCAAAGGAGCTCTGCGAGTTTGCTCTAGCTTTACAAAAGTATACAGGTTTCAACGGGTAAGACTTGTAAAGCGGAACTAGGGAACTAGCGAAAGTTCGGAATGCCCCTTTCAAGCAGAACCGCGCCGAAAATGGTTTACCCACGCTAGAACTCATCCCTCCTAGGCAAGAATCCTCATTGCGCCAAAATTAAATACCGTCCATTCTAAAAAAACCCCACGAAATGACATAAAGGATTGCATG